TCTCCGTCTGCAAGTCTGTCGTGTTGGTGCACAAGCCAGGCGAATGGCGTCGTTACTGCTTAGCACTCAACCTTATCTAAACTACAATCACCACCTTCACCACCAGAGACTATCATCCAACTCCATAGGATCATGAAGCCATGGAAATTCACAATCTTAAACGTATATCGTGAGTAATGGTTTGTCTCAGGTGACTTGTCAAAGTTAACCCATGAACTAGATGCAAGCGGTGCCAGCAGAGAAAGGTAGGGCTCTCTCACCCCCGGCTGATTAGGAGACCGATTGCAACAATTATCACTAAAATTCTTCATAGATACGGTGCTCTCGTACCGCACCATGTCTTAAATGTAGCACTGCTGATGTGAAGTGCATATTCCGAGATAGTGATTATAAACTGCCACCTGTCTCACGCGAGTACGTCGCGGCGTTAGAGTCCCGGATATCTAGTCTCGAGAGCCTCTTAGTTAACATAAAGAGGGCTGCGGGAAATGAGAGAGATACTATTCTAGAAGGGGTAATCTTCCAAGATTATCTCACATCTTTTGCAAGCCATCCAACGAACAGAGACACCGAGTTGTCAGAAGCAATGATGAAAGCATCCCTACAAGAGACGCTCGAAGGTACCAGGCTCCAGTTTCTTTTGTTTTGTGAAATTCTATCCTCTGAAATGATGCTTCGCTACTCTAAATACTGATGGTAAGCTAGGATCAATGATATATCATGGGCCTACTAGCATTTCACAAACGAAGCTACTGATTCGGTGTCAAGTACCCCTGTTAATGCGGATTCGCCATCATCCCTGCATGAGCGAAATAGCCTGCACAATCCTAATGTCTATCTATGCCTTGGGCTGTTCTTTTTCTGGCAGTACCCACAATTCATGTTTATCGACATGGAAGCATTTGTCAAGGAGTTTGAAGTTAACCCTGTTGACGGAGAGTTCTGCTCATCACCCCTAGTCATGCAGGATGCGCTATTGGAGCTCTCATGTCTCCTGACCCGGCAATAAAAGCACTAGCAGTTGGCTTTTCTGAACTGGCTCAGTCATATTTGACTTCACGGGGGCTAAGAAGTCCTCGTTTGACGTCAGTACAAGCCTTATTGTGTTGTGCATATTATGAAGTGGGCAAAGGCAATCTCTCCAAGGCCTGGCAACTCTCAGGTATGTTACGTTCCGTCTCTGTAATGAAAGTAAGCAGGTTGACTATTGTGTTAGGTATGGCATTCAGAATGGGACAAGATCTAGGCTTCCAACGAGATCCTACTCATTGGGAGCCGAAGAGACGTCTTATGGAGCCGTACTTCGACAACGAATTTCGGCGTAGGCTTTACTGGGCTGCTTTCTGTCGGACAAGTTCGTACAGATCTACACTTTTCAAGCCGCAATTAACTCATATATGCTGTGCGTTATAGAATATTTAGTTTATTCTTGGGAAGGCCCACGTTCATGCATGAGAATAATGCGGACGTTGATATTAGCGACCACTACCGTAAGGATCAAATGCAAGTAGTTGCATTGGTAAAAGACTAACATTTTGGCGTAGACGAGAGCCTGCAATCTGGGAAAATTGGCTTTTCTCCCATGATCTTGGCTTCCTTAAGACAATGCGACCCGCGGGGCCGAAACTAACACTACTATTCAACCAACAAGTCGAATTGGGCAGAATTATACATGAAATGCTATCACACACATTTACTCCCAGAGGCAAAGGCTACTCTAAGTCCAAGAGATGGACCGAAAATTCTCTGAATCAATTAAATGCCAAGCTAGTCTCCTGGAAAGAGGCTTTACCAATGGACATGAGATGGAAGAAGTGGGTTACCAACAAAGACGTCTTACAGCCAAATGTAGCTATTCTGCAGTAAGTGGAAACTATCCAACATTCGCCAATATTTCTAATTGAATTTGCCAGTACTTTATACAATAGTACACGTATATGCCTCAACCTCCCTTTCATAACGTCGGTTGAGCCCTCTGTTTCCGCACCACACTTGAAGAAGCAAATTGTCCACCAACCAAATCACTTTGCTGAATGCGCCAAAATTTGCTCAGATTCAGCAGATGCTATTGTAGCTCTTTTGCAGCGATTCAAGAGTCAACACACCCTTGGAAATGCACCTATAATTTTCGTGCACTGGGCTATTGTGGCAACAAATTCTGTTCTGGTTACATCACGATACTCTGAGAGTTCAAGGCCACTAGTCAAAAACACCCATCTTCCAGTTCTTGATGCAGCATTGCAGGAGATGTCAACATCCTGGGCGCTAGCTGAGATAGCGAGGACCAAATTCCGACACGCTCTTGGACAAAAACAGCAGCAGCACCAGAGACAAAGCAGCTTAATTCAACTAACACATGACCTAGACGCACAATTTCATGAACAGCCAGCAACTACAGACTCTTCCACGTCAAATACTCTGGGAATCGACTCGACGGCTTTAGGTGCGGTAGCGCAGGGAATAGACTTTGCGAGCCCAGAACAGTATGTTTGGGATCCTATGAGTATACTCGACGGCGAGACAGAGTACTGGGCAAACATGGGTGATGATAGTCTAGCGGGAACTGACCTGGGATTCTTTGGATCATCAACAGGTTTGGATGGGGCAGAAATACCGTGGGACAATTTGACACAGTGTGACACAAAGTCTTCACTTTGAGTTGGGGAGCAAGGTCTTACCTCTGCCAGCAGTC